ATTTCTTTAATCAGGGCATTAACAACCTGATTGTAAGATGGAAAAGCATGATCGATAAGAATGGAGACTATTTTTTTAAATAAATGTTTTGTTTTAATATAAATGTTATTCAGGTATTTTCATCTACTGTGATGTTTGAATTATTGATTTTTCTGTTTGTTCAGGAAGTAATGTGGTCTTGATGAGCTGAAACGCTTTCTGTAATTTTGTTTGTCTTTATTTGTTAACAAAAAATTAGTAAATGAGAGCCCATTCTCCAAGACTGTTGCTGCTAATTCTGACTTAACTTGAAATGTTAAACACAAATATATATTGAATGTCTGTTTCTGTGTTACCCCACATAATTAACACTACTTATTCATTATGTGTTTAAAAGTAAGCCAAACCTTTATATCACAAGTATAATTACTTTTTAAGCTTTTAAGATTTTGGTTTTTCTGTTGATATATTCTTAAATATTTTGTATTCTTAAATGAGTGTTAATCTTTGTTTAATAACTTTGTACACATTTCTGTATTTTTTTAGATGCATGCTTATACACCTATAGAAATGTATTTTGCTTATATCTGAGATCCTTTATACATAGTCAGGGAGAAGTAAACTATGTAAAGTTCTGTATTTTCAGTGCATGAGAATGACATTTATTTTTATTACTGTGATGTTTGATGTATTTTGTTTTCATTGCATTTGTAAAAAAATGTGCATATGAGTTATGCCTAATATTAGTATTATCTTTCAAAATCTGTCATTAAACTGTAGGTATCAGTTAAAGCATTTCAATATATATTTTTTCCTTTTTCAAGGAGAAGCAATGTATTATCCACGATCAGAATACAAATCTACAAGACATTATCAAGGACAAGTGAAAGCAGTTATCTTTGATTGGGCAGGTATGATTGTTTAAGCAGTCTTGTAATACTGGTATGATACTGCAGAGGTTATAATATTGAAATGAATGGATGAATGATAGTGACATCGTGCTTAATTTGTACTTGCAAATCCAGCAGAAAAAAATGGGGTTGTTCATTTAAACAAAATTTCTGTTGCTCTGTTTATTGCCATTTTTGATGTTCGGAAGTTCTACTTTTTTTTTTTTTACAATTTACTTAAACATATTTGATTAAAATTAAACATGATTTAACAATGTAAGCTTTTTGAAGTAAAGTTAAATATTATCTTTTAACTTGACTAAAATGTTACAGTTTAAATTGTGAGAAAACAGTGAAATTGCTTTGTACTCATACTTAATTGCTTAGCAAATAATACTTTGCACAAAGTATTTAATAAAAGTTGCTCTGTCTTTCATTCTGGATGACGAATTTTAACAACATATTTTAGTAATTTCCAGTGGATGAATTCAGTGCATAAACTTACCTGTTCTTGGTGCACCTGTTTAGAGTGACTTACATGCACTCACTGATTCCAGCATGCAAAATAATTCCTTTCCAGTTACATTGAGGATAGCTTTCTTTTGGTAATTCAGATAAACCAATTTAACTAAAATTCAGCATACATTTTTGTATATTAACCAAACCTATTTGTTATTAATGGATTGAAAGAATAAATTTCAAAACAGTACTACCTCCTCTCAGTCAAAGCTATCTTGACCTTGATTTGCCCTCTAAGCATTGCTAAAATTTTCAAAATCCCACTGCTTTTATACCCCTTCACTTTTGCACCATCGCAGTAACATGCTGATCATGTGACTCCTCCACTGATCATACTGTACCACATATACTAGTGCAGCACAACTTTCACTTTCTTGATTGGCATTCTAGTGTATACATGTGTGTTTTAACATGTTCCCCACGTGACTACAATATTTTAATAGTACTTGATTACAAATTTTTATCAATTTCAACTTCAAGTTTTGACTTCTTGAGTTATTTTATTTCCATTGTTTCTACTCGTTTATTTTCACAATGTTTCTGTTTTTGAATTCTACTTTTATCATATGAATTTCAGACTTAATATGGTAGAAGATGAAATTCTTGCCATATGTAGAACACTAGTCTCCAGGTCTCAGGGTCGATGGTGTCTGTTGGGGAAGCACAGGTTTTAGTTTCCAGGGAGTTTGTGTATTATGTTTGGCCGATAATTTTTTCTTTCACATTACGATTTTTGTGAAGAGGTATATAACTACTGTGTGGAAATTGTCTTTGTACAGCACTTTTCACCTGTTACTGCGCTTCCATGTAATCTGCTGGGTTAGGTATTACTGTTTCCCAGGAGATCTGTGTTAAGTTTTTCAGTGTGCATTTCTCACTCCCCATAGGTATACCCATGTTCAGTGACTTTACATGAGCTTGTGTGGATGGACCTAATTTCCACACTCAATAATTTAGGTCATTCATATCTTCTATGCTTAGTGTAGGGTAATTAAGATTTTTATGCTTCTTTTACCATCTAGATTATTTTAGTTTAAACTTGCATTTGTAGTTTGATCATTCCTTTGTTTTTGTTTGCATTTTTACTTCTTTTCACTGTTTATGTTATTTTGTTTGTAAGTTCCTTTTTCTTTACTACTAGTCACATGTAATTAGGGATTAGTTTTTAGTTAAACTTTGTTAGTGTTCACTGGTTGCTTTTTATTCTCACGGTCTTTAGGATCAGTTTTATTTTTAGCATATGAATTGAGAAGTCTTGGAGTGAGAGAAGAAGAGAAGATGAATGAAAAAAATAAAGAATTGAAATTTTTATGCTGTAATTGTTTGATTTGGACATTCAGATTATTTATTTCATATCTTAAGATATTCTGTGACTTCTGATTAATAAACAAAAAATATTTTCAAAGGTCTTATCATGATGTGCATATATATAAAATTATATTTTTTAATGAACTTTCAGGAACTGTTGTGGATTGTGGTGTTTTAGCTCCTGCACTTACTTTCTGTGAGCTTTTCAAGAATGAAGGTGTTTGTATCACAGAGGAGGAGGCCAGAGGACCAATGGGAGCTCACAAGCGTGTAAGTAACAAAGATTTTATTATGTGTATTACATCTATTGGAAGTAAGTGATTTTATATGTTATTACTCTCACCCCTGGAGGAGTGGGCAAGGGTATTGTATTTGGTTCCATGAGTGTGTGTGTATGTCTGTCTCTGTTTTCCTGTTGGCACTTCTTGCATGCACATGTTCTTTTCTTAATATGTATCATGAGGATTCTCATTTTTGTGTTTTACTCTTTGGACACCATTTTTTGTTTTTCCATACTGAATTTGATTCTTTTTAACACATTGCGGACAGGTTACGAGTTTACTTGTGTTTTGTGCAGAGCGTCTTTGTGTGCCATTTATTAAAATATTGAGTTTGAAAGGAGTCGGACGCGTTTTATTTTGTTCATAAATCAACCATATGTTTTATTATTTATTTTAAACTTACAGAGTATGTACATGAAAACACCTAGTCGATGTTTAAAGTGTGGTATCTTGTAAAACATTTTCCTATATGGAGTGGAACCACACAAAACTTGTACATGTATTGCGTTTCACTTCTTTTCCCATGGGCAGTACAAACTCTGCAGGCTCTGGTAGGAAATTTCTTTTTTCCTGTAGAGCAAATGAACACAGGAATATGCTGCTTCATGTCACCAGACAGTCTTCATTGGGATCCTTATGTGGGGCTCTCCTTGTATCTTCAGATGATGGACTGGGTTCATTTATTTTTTCTGTTGATTCAGGGCTTTGTAGATTATATATGAATTGAAAAGGCCACAATTTATTAGATAAAGTACTACTTTTTTTGTCCATTTCACTGTTTTCTGAGAATGATGAAGTATGAGAGGCACTGATTTGCATAATCAACACCTTTCATGTGGATATTGTATTAGAGAACACACACGGGTTTTTTATTTCTTCTCCAGTTCACGACAGCAATACTTTCGGGTTTGGATGGAGTTACAATGACCCCTGGATTTCCTTGAAACATTTCCAAGTTCGATGAAATATCTATTTCTGACCAATTATCATTATCACAACGGGAAAAGAAATCACTAACAGGAACATTTGTAGAATCATTATCATTTTCTGATTAAAAATCAGTTGAGAGCACAACAACTTTATGTATCTTTGTAGGTCTAACAACATCACTGTAGTTAGTCACTGTCAGGATGATCCATAAACACATCCACATCAGAATCTTCACTTGGAAGATCTGACAAATTATCATCAAATAGTTCAGTAATTATCTCATCTTCACTCAACACATTGTTTTCAATGAGAAGCCATTTATAAGAATATGGATACTGTAAGCAGAAATCAGAAAAGTAATGACCATTCAGAACGAAATAAAATGCATCTGACAGCTTTTTAACACAACGTTTTAATAAATGGCACACAAAGACACACTGCACGAAACACGAGTAATTTCGTGACTCATACGCAATGTGTTAAGAAAAAGTGGGTCCCTGCTTCAGACATCAGTAGTGTCCTTGGGAAGTTTGCACCTGGAGCATCTACACTGTCATGACAAAAGTTAATGGAACCCCATTTTTTGCATGCCTAACCTTAAGGTAGAGGTTGGAAGTTCTACTCTTCTCCAATTCTCCATTGTATCTTGATCTAAATTTTCAATTGATTTATTCTCAAGGCCATTGCTTAAGATATGAGTTGACGTGTCTCCTTGACACCCTCCCACTTGGGATTCCTTATTACAATTGGATCTCAGCCATAGTTATTTAGATGGAGCACAAATTTCCATTTCAAGATATTTATTGTGGATTACAGGGTTGAGTATGATATATTAAAAGTCACATGAAAACTACAACTTAAATAAATTCACAATGAAAATGCATGTATCAGAACTACACTTTGACATTGTTAGTCATTTTATAGTTAATGTGAGTCTACCAAAAATTTGATTGTTTTTGAAAAGTGTATATAATAGTCATTCAGAAGCAAAATATTCATTTACTGATATTATAAAAGATGTTTTCAGATTAGGGATTTAGAATATTTTAGATGGAGATATATCCCTTGTACTTAATGACACTGAAAAATAAAGGGATTTGGATCAACTTGGAGCACCAAGACCATCCAGAAAGAGACCTGCAATGTCTTACTTTAAGCATGGTAAACAATGTGCAGTATTTTCAAACAGATGAGAATCCACAGCATAAAAGCCAGTGCCCAAAGCTATATGTGTTCAAGGCAACAGTATGCAATGTAGGTAGTCAAGTAGGATCTCTGTCTGGAAATGAGCCAACATGGTATGGATTCACCAATATAAGCCTTCCAGTTATACCTCTTCAACTGTTGTGTACCTCAAACAGCTGAAGAATGAAATAGATGTTCAAATTATTCCATACAAAGACATCTAACTCAAGTCATCGGATGTAGTGGCTATTGATTTCTGTGCAATCATACTGTTGAAAGGGTGCTGGGAAACAGTTTTCCTTGTATATTACATAGACTAGGAAAAGCATATAGGGAGAAGTAGCATGTTTTGGACATGGCAGCCTTATAATAGAGCTTTTTGCAATAGAAACTATGCTGCGAGGTTACTGTCAAGATATGTGTTATCAGATAGAGCAGTACTGGACATGGCAACATGGACACTAATGACATTGGGAGGCTCCAAATTCATTGTAATATAATGTACTTGACCCTCTGTATACCTTTTTATGTGAATGTATGTGTGAATTTGGTTCTCCTCACAAATTTGAGGGGTTTGAGTGATTGATATTAAGGGTGTCCTTTCTTGTTGGCTCTGTTGACTACCAGGAGTTTTGTTTTTGTATAGCCAACAGTGAGTCTTCCATATCTATGAAGTTATTGGCTTACTAGTGTCAGGTCAGCAGTGATGCCCTAGCTATCTGGATCTAGGAGTACCAGATCCTTGCCATCCTATTTTGTATGTACTACACAACAATGTATTTTTCAGGAGTGAAAAATGCTTCTGCTTCTTCTTGTTCCATCTCTTCTTTCAATGAGGGGATTCTAGCTCAAGGCTCTAGTGGAAGTGTAATATCATATCTGAAATTAACATTTTAGGATTAAAAATGAAATTCAAGGGTATACTTATCTCTACTACAAGTGATTCTTCCCAACTTCCCATACTGGTGGGTATAAAAAATGTGTCTGTATATGATATGTTACAATTAAGGGTTGGTGGAGAAAGTAACACTTAACCCTCTTGCTATGGGCATGATTATGTGCACATATCATAAGCATGTCACGAGGTTTTACTGAGTTACATTCAAAATTGAATTAGAGTATTTTATCATCATGACATACAAATAAACATGACATCACAATGCTGCTAATAATCCAAATTTTAATACTATATATGTTTTAAGTTCCTAGTTTTATAAAGCAATTATTAAACAAAACTCTCAATTTCTCTTAATATGATAATTGTGACATTTGCTCTATAGGTAATCTCCTCTTCTCTAATTTATTTATCACCCCTCCAAGAAATACAAATTTTAAAATAAATTACTTATTATAATGTTGTCATCACTCCTGCAAAGCATATTTTTACAACCTTCAATATTATTTGGTTACAGAGCCATAAATTAGAAAATCAGACCCATCTTGCCACTCCCACCTGTCACATCCTCTCTTTCAGAAATTGCCAATAGTTCTCTCTGACGTTTAATGCTGTATTATTTATAAACAATAGAAAGCCAAAGTTTTAATCTATTAAATTATCTACTATATTACTTGTTGCCTTTACAGAGAATTGTCTACTTCACTTCCAGTTCAAATTTTATTCTCATGGGAAGCACATTGAGGAGCTTAGCTGAATTATTAACAGCTCTTCTCACATAGTTAGAAAGCCAGAAAAATTGTGATAGTTGTATTGTGTTTTTGTATGTTATTATTCTGTGTTCTTTGGTGCATTATTTAATTAAATAAAAAATTATTTAGTGGAATTGTACCATTAGTATAAAAAAGTAGGCTTAAGTTTAAACAGTAGTTGACAGGAATAAAAGAAGACCCAGATAAGTACTATATTTCTTGTTTTTCATGGGTATTTCTTATTTATTATTATAAAAGTAACTAAAATGTAAAAATTAGAAACTTTTTAGGTTAGATGAGGTTAGATTAGGTAAATAATAATAATATTTTTTCACGAGGTACGCTTGTGAGCAACTTTTGAGTAGCCTGTGCATTATGTAATTAGTAAGGGTAACATGAGCTACATGTTCACCAAGAGATTTATATGGTGGGAATATTAGTTAGACATGGTTTAAAGGGCAATAAAACAATAAAATTTATGTATAAGCAGATGCATACTGTTATGAGATTTAAGTTATTTAACATTAACAAATATAATTTCATGTTGCAATTTGAAGTCATTTTGAAAGAAAAGGGTAATTTAGATTTATTTTGAATTTTTTTTATGGTGGTTTTGAGGTCAATCAAATTGAGTTAGAGAAAATTACAGATAAGATATAACGTTTTTGAACAAAATATATTTTATATTTATTTAGGAGGTTTTAAAGATTACACAAATGAAATTTGAAAATTTTCAGATGAATAAAAGTATTTTTAATCTTAACATGAAAATGTACTTGGGCTAGCTAACAAAATGACCTGATATATTTATGGATCAATCTTTAGTACAAATACTTAATTAGAATATCTGATTTTTTCATAGCTTAAAGTTATAATACAAGTAAGTATTTCTTTGAATTTAATTTTAGTTTTTAATCTTGGTTCATGAAGGTTGAAGATTATTGTACTTCTGAAACAATCTACTTACCTTTCTGCACACAGTAGCTATTTCTCACATGCCTGCTGTTGAGATTTTGTTCACACCACTAGCCTTAAACTATCTCCAACCTAAATCATGTGCTTTGATGTGAACTTTGCTAATACATGATGTAATAATCATGCAGCAATAGCCTTCCACAAATAGGAGGGTGACACATCCTTCTTGTGTAATAGATCTCCATAAGTATTTGCACTTGAAATTAACTTCATTTTTAAACTCAGAGTTGCAATTAACAAATGTGTTTAATT